GCTATCTAAAATTTTAGTTTTCTCACCCAATTTCCAATATCCTGCATTGTAACAACCATACAAACAATAATTATCTTTCCCAACAATCAACAATGATTCTCTATCCTCAATTACATCATAGAGATTTCGTCCAATCAAAGAATCTTGACCTCGTATCGCGGAAAAAATCAATTTGTATCGGGTTAACGGATTGTCAAAAATCTTATTCAAACTATCGATACAAGAACGTGTGAGAAACGATGACACACTTTCGATATTTGAATATCTAATCCATCCTATATCGTGTCGAGAAACATAATTCGAATCTAGTTTTTTTCTAAACACATCTTCCAGATGCTGATTCTCGAAAAGATTATTGTTGTTCTATAACAAGTCCATGATTTTTTCCTTCTTTAGTTGATGTAAACGAAGTTCTCTTAGATCAACATCATAATTATTTTCTTTAATTTTCAGTAACAACTCTTCTTCTGTCAATACCAAATCGTCTCTACTCAATAATAATTTAAATGTCTCATTACTGATTTTTGTATTGATATCAAATACAAGCTTTATGTTATTTTGCATTACGTAACGAAATGTTGATTCAAATACTTGATATAAAGACTCATTGTTGAACAAAAGTTCAACCAACATGATAATTTCCTTACTTGAAAAGGTGGTAATGGTAAGATTAATACGCTCGTGAATTTTATTTACCAGATCATTCAGCAACAATTTTTCACTTTCCCTTAGCATTTCTATTGTCAATTCAACATTAATTTTAGGTATTATACTATGATAAATGTAAAATACAATATTATTCATCACGCTATATTTCTGATCAGATTCAATAATAAACATTCTCTCTTCGTTCTTCTTAGCCCAAGTTGAAGATAATAAAGTACAAAAATATTCGGAATAAGCGCTTAAAATTTGAGAATGCACATGTATCTCTGGATCAGTTTTAATGATAACATCTGCAGTATTTTCTCTTAAGAAACTTGACATTTTGAAATTTATTTTTGGTAATAAAATTAATGTGTTTATATAACAAAATGATGATCAAATTGCTAAATGTGGACAATTTATATTCGGCAATTTAGTTAAAATATATATAATGCAATATCATACATTATCAAAAATAAAAAAAAAATGGAAGAAAAAAATTTACAAAAGCTTAAAGATTTAACTGAAGAATTAGAAAAAAATTTTGAATATTCGATGTTGTATCAAATACTTGATATGATGATGAAGAATCCTGATCTCTGCGATGTAACAGAAAAAAAATATTACTGGTATCTGTTACAAGTGGAAAAATTATATGAAGGAAAAGTGTGGACTCAAAAAGATAAAGAAAAAGCTCAGGAATTACTAAAAAAATACACAGAAAATAACAAAACAAGACACCGGGAAAAAGCTGATAATGAACTAAGAAATATATATCTAAATTTACCATGTGAAATCAAAAAAGATCAAAAAGAAATTTTTGAAAATGTAAACGAATGGTGGAATAGAAATATCAATCAAGCCAAAGAATCTCGATTAGAAATTCCGGATTCATTAAAAAACGATATACAATATGAATTACTCGATAGGGAAACTTTTTTAAAATTAGCTTTAAATTAACAAAAAATTTACTAAACATTCTTTATTATTTTCTGAGTTAAAAATAAGCGGTTACGTCCATTTTTAATTCTTACCATAATTATATTCGTTTTAATTTCCTAATATAGATTTTCCACAAATGGTAATTTCTAAAATTATATATAAGTGTTAAAATACAACAAACAACAGACAAAATGAACCAAGAAAAAGATGAAAAAATCCTGAAATCACTGATATACAGCGAACTCTACAAAAATTACTACTATCTTATCTCGTATAATGAAACAACCAAGAAGGCAGTTATTAAAATCGGTAAAATCACGAACAAAGAAATCATCGACAACGAAGAAAAAACTCTGTTCAAACTCACGTTAAACAATGCAATTGAAGAAGCCAAGAAAAGAATCTGCGAAAAAATCATCAAAAAACATCAAGATCTTTTCGATGAAATTGAGAGTAGAATCGATACCTCTTACAAAGAAGAACTCTTTGAATTTTTAGATAGTACCATTGAAGATTTTGTCACCGATGATATCGATAAATTTATATTCGCGTCAATCTTTCGTACATTTACCAAACATTACTACTTTCACGTTCCTGTT